ATATGTTCTGCATACAAATTGAATATATAGGGCAAAAGGATGGAGCCTTGTCTGGCCCCTTTGCCAATTGGGAATCATTCTGTTTCTCTGTGTTCTTTTTATTATTATTATTATTATTAATCATATATACAGGACAATAATGAAAATGCAAATACAATAATTCTACAATCATATATACAATATCCATCCATCCCACCCATACCAACATCTAAAAATAAATTCTAAATCTAAAACACACTTTTCCATTCATCCTACATAAAACATAGTTACTATGCTATGGTTCTGTTATTGAGCAATATTTCATAACTGTTTATAATAATTCTGTCTCATGAATATTCTGTAATTGATGACTTCCTTATGTGTACCTACAATCATTTACTTAGTTCTTTTATTTTGTTTTTCCGTATATATTTTGATTAAGCTGATCCAAAGATTAGGTTGATTTCCAACCTCTTTTTTCTCTTAGGATTTCTAGCTCTGTCCATTCATCATTTGTGTCATTATTTTTTAGACTTGCTGTAAGTTTATCTAAGGTGACTGCCTCTAGTAATTTGAAAAACCAGTCTTCTTCTTTAGGTATGTGTTTTAGTTTCCAATATCGTGCATATTTAATTCTGGCCATTGTGACCATATATAAGAGTTTTTTTATTTGGATCTTCCTTGTTATTATGTTAATGTTGGTTGTCATGTTCAGTAAAAAAAAGTTTAGGTCAGGGTTAATTATTATCTTAAACATTTCACTTATTCATTCTGCTACCATGTTCCAATATTTTTTTGCTTTCAGACAAATCCACGACATGTGGATGAAGTCTGCTTCAGGGCGTTGACATTTCCAGCATTTCGTGTTGCCGGTTTTATAAATTTTATGAAGCTTGGCTGGTGTTAAATACCACTGGTGGAACATTTTTAGGTAGTTTTCTTTTAAATTCTGACAGAGTGTAAATCTATTAGTATTTTTTCATGACACTTCCCAACATTCTAGATCTATCTGCTCTCCAATATCCTGAGCCCATTTAATCATGACCTTTTTAATGGCTTCATTCTCCAGATCTCTCTCTTTCATTAATTTATAATATCTAGATATATGTTTATCTTGTCCTATATATACAATTTTGTCTATTTCATTCATACTATTTTCAAATCCTGATATTTTTAGATCTTCTCTAAATTTGATTTAAGTTGATTATACAAAAACCAGCCAATTTTTATGTCTTTTTGATGTAAGTCTTCCATTGTCTTGAATTTATGTAGAATTTTTATATCTGTCTCTAATATATCTTTGTATGTTATCCATTTCTCGTTTTCATTTCTTGTCCTGTTATAGAATGCCTCTTGAATGGAAACCCACATGGGGATCTTATTATTATAGAATTGTTTTTTAATTTTGTACCAAATTTGTAAAAGTGCCTTTCTGAATATGTGGTAGTCAAAGTCTTTAGGCCTAAGCAGACGGGTGGCACAGGTATCCGCACTCCTTGGCCCCGTGGCGCAGTGTCCCAGGCCCAGGAAGGAGCACTAAAATAGTGCTCCTTCCACAAGACGCCGAAGGTGCACCGCAAAAGGCGTCCAGTGCACCTTCAGCGCCTCTTCCACTGCAGCGTGTGTGGACACTGCAGCAGAAGTGCATCGTCAGAGCGCCGGCCATGCGGAGGGCCAGTCGCTCCAGCGACTTTTTCAGGAAGGGGTTGAGGCACCCAGTGTGAGGCTGCCCCTCTCCTTCCTGGCATCAAAGATGGTGCTTTGCGCTGTCTGCTTAGGCCCTGAATTGACTTTCTTCTTATTGTACCAAAGGTGCACATGAAAGCCATATCTAGTATTACTGCTTTCAAGTCTTAATAAACTGTCATTTTCTAGCGTAATCCATTATTTGATCCATGTCATACAGCATGCGTAATAATATAATTTCAAATTAGGTAGTGCTATACCACCTTTATTTTTCTCTTCTGTCAGGATTTTCCATCTGGTTCTAGGCTTTTTTCCTCCCCAGAGGAATTTAGATAGTTCTCTCTGCCAGATGGAAAAACAGTTTTCTTTTATGATTATCGGTAAATTTTGAAATAAGAACATGAATCATGGAAGAATGTTGATTTTTATGACAGAAGCTTTGTCAGTAAATGATAATTTTAATTTGGCCCATCTTTCCAGATCTGTTTTAATCTCTTTCCATGTTTTCCCGTAATTGTTCTGGTAAACGTCAATATTTTTCTTTGTCAAAGTGATGCCAAGGTATTTTGCTTTATTTTGAATATTAAATCCAGATATTGTTTTCAGTTCCTCTTCTTCCTTATATTCCATATTTTTTACTAATATGATAGTTTTGTCTTCATTAATTTTAAACCCAGAATATTTCCCATATTCTTTTATCATTTGTATTAAATAATGCATGCTTTCTTTAGGTTCTTCTAAGAAGCAGATCAAGTCATCTGCATATGCTTTAAGTTTGAATTGTGTTTTCTTTATTCTTACTCCTTTTATTTTGTCTTCCCTACATATCTTATTAGCTAATATTTCTAGTACTAGTATGAAAAGAAGAGGTGACATTGGGCACCCTTGCCAAGTTCCTCTTCCTATTTTAAT